TGGAAAGGATCATTAAAATAGTTGTAATCATGTCAGTGGCTCAGCAGATAATGCAAACTTTTGTGGGTAGGTAGACTAATGAGTCTTAAAGAAAGGGCAAGGACTCTAACTTAGCATGAAGAAAAGTGTACCTGAGAAAGAGAGAAATCAGAATTTTATCTGCTGTAGTTAAGTTGCAGGCTACATCCCCCATTGCCATATTAATGTAGCTAACCATTGATTGTGTATGTGCATTAACTGGAGCCAATTTCAGAAAAGCAGAGAGCTACATTTTAGCAAACCACTTTATACTTTCAAATAGGACAGAAATATTTATTTTATTTGTGACATTTATAAATAATACCATGCACCAGCAGGCCTGTGCAAATCAGCTCTAATTCAATTTAATTTGGAGACTTGAGATTCAAATAAGATAAGATGCTATTTGAATTTGTAGTTCAAGGTCTGAGAGCAAACCAATTTGACTTACACTATTTTTAGAGATAATATTGATGAGAAGCATATATTTATCCAAATTGCCCATAAATTGCCCATTATCCTCTCATCTCAGTTACTACAGTAAGAGGACCTCTTGCTAACTAGTTTTTAAGGGATATATTCATATAATGTTGCTTTTATCTCATCCTCAGGAAATCTAGAATTATTTTGTGATGTTCTAGTGTAGAAAGGGAATATTCCTTCTTATCCCAGAACAAATCTTGCCACATGGAGTCTCTGAAATATCTTAGTGATGAATCTGGGAATGATATAGCCAATGATTGGTTCTACTCTGCTCCCCTTTATTCAGTCATTAGACACTGCTTCTTTGTGGTCATTGTAACTTGTCTGAGAAAGAAACACCTACCTGCTTTCAAAGGCAATTTTCCTGTGCACCCCCCCTCCCCTGCCATTGATGGTAATTTCAGCCACTTGAGTGATCCGCACCACAAAACAGATTGATGTATCTATGTAAAAATACATTCCTAAAAGAAATATTGTTGTGAAAAAGAGGTCAAGGGGACTCTTTTCCACACCCTAGTAACCTCCTGTCATGAGGACAACACAATTAATGTCACTGCAATTTTCTGCTTAGTCAAAGTTGGAATGAAAGAACATTGAAGTAGCAGTCTGGATGAGCCTTAAGTTGTGCTGAACTAATGCAGAAACTGTTCTACTAAGTAAAATACTTCTGAACATGTTTTAAAAATAAGGCCATTTTAGTTTTCTGGAGTTCAGCTTTGGTTAACATTGAAGTATGATCACCGACTTGCCTTGGCATAGATTTGGTATAGATTTGCCACCTCTGTTCACTGTTTGTGTAGTGCCAAGAGAGGTCACATAGAACAGTGGTTCTCAACTTTTTTAATGCCATGACCCCCAACCAGTTGTAAATCGAGGACTACTCAACCGGTCGTAAGTCGAGGACTACTCAACTGGTGCAGCACCGTTTGCAGAATGGGACTTTTGGCGGCCTCAGCAGGGCAGAGACAGCCTGGACAATTCCTATTGGCTTTTGAAAGCCAATAGAATTAGACTCTATTCAAGAAAGTTTATTCTATTGGCTTTCAAAAGTTAGTTGTGCTACTTCCTTTTATTCTATTGGCTTTCAAAAGCCAATAGAATAAAAGGAAGTAGCACAACTAAGGAAAAGGGGAAAAAAATGGCGGACTGCGTTGTTTGGCGACCCCTGTGAAATGGTCGTTCGACCCCAAATGGAGTCCCGACCCACAGGTTGAGAACCACTGACGTAGAAGGATAGCCAGCTTGGCCACTCCTACGAAGGAGCCATCATCGTAGATTTGACCTGGTTGTGTGACTTGCTGTTGACTGCTCTATATTAGCAGAGGCAGCCGGGGCAGGCTGACACAGTGAAAGAAAATGGCACAGAAATAGACAGCCAAGGAGAAAAAGGCTGGCACACAAAAATTGGTATTCGTAGATTTGACACTTCCTGGTTTTAAAAACAAATAACATTTAGGCCAATACCTTTAAGTCCTAGCTTGATACCTATCCTCTCATTGTTGAGTTGTATATACTTGGGTCATATAAATGTCTATACTGAACAATCAGTTTTGAGACAATATTGTAAGTGCTAAGAGTTAAATTTAATGTTGACTTATGTTGTTAAGCAAAAAAAAAAAAAGCAAATGTAAGACTTGAGAGTTAAAAAAAACCAAATGAAACCAAAAGTAATGTTAGCCTTATCACTGCAAAAAAAAAAAAGAAAGAAAGAAAGAAAGAAATCTTAGCACTCAGTTTAATGAGGTGACAAATTGTATTTGCTGCTGGCCATCTGTATCTAAGACTGCTTCACATTGTTCAGCTATCTTTCCCAGCATCCTCCATATATGGAAGTAAACTTGCAAACTTGCATGTTGACTGTAATAACCCCAGAAGCAGTACAAAAGCCATCTATTCTACAATGTGTGTCAAAAGTCTATAACGTGCTCTGAAGCCAGTTGATCTGATTTGTCATTTCAAAGTTACTTAGAATTGCAATTTTTTTCAACAGGGTGATTTGTTCCTAACTGTTTCAAAGCTTTGTAAAACCCTATTTACCAGACATAGGGATGAAGAGAGACAGTGAATGATAATAAATGTTTTGTCCTAGCACTTCTCATTTGAATTATGTAGGTAGTCCTTTGAGTTACATAGGTATTCCTTTGAACTATTGTGCAGTACATTTGTGGACATGGAAATGGCTTTGCAATCCCAATCTGAAAATGCAGAATTTAGCACAACAGAGACACTGGAAGTCCATTGTTATAATAGCTGTGGGTGTTATTCAGTTTTCAATCAGTCTTCAAAGCCAGTGGAAGCTTCATAGCACAAAGCTCTCCAGTGGTTTTTGTCACCAGCCACAGCTTCTAGTTCCCTTGACAATGTCACAGTGATGTAAGGTTTCCTTCACTGTATCTTTGAAGGACTTGCATGGTTGACCTTGCTCCCATGGAGCAAGGTGAATGGTCATTCTGATGATGTGTCCCACTAACTACATCTGGGCTCTGATAATCAGGACTCAATGCTGATAAGACTTTATGTGATTCAGGACCCGCAGATTGGAGACACAGTCTTGCCAACAAATGCCAAAGACAGAGCAGAGAGCAGGCCTGTGAAATTTTTACAATTGCTTGATATGTTATTGGTTTAGAGTCCAGGAATCATGTCCATTTAAGAGGGAAGAGATTATTACCACAGCTCTATAGACTTTCAACTTTGTGGAAATATTGAAGTTGTGTTGATTGAGCACTATAGTTTGCAGCTACCCCAGAGCCTGGCTGGCCTCAAGTCAATTTCTTATATTTGAAGCTATTGGGTGCTTTCTTATATTTGAAGCAGTTGGGTGTCATCAACAGTACGTTTTGGAAAAATGAACACCAGGATATAATAAACCAGACTGTTTAATATAAACAAGTCTCTGGTTAAAAAGAGTCACTAAGCTTTCGTCAGACCAAACTACTGACGTCATCCGAGTTGGAGTAAAGGGAGATCAGGAAGGCAGCTCATATAACCTCCTGCCTCTGCGCTTGGCTCCTTGAGCACGTCATTGGCCCGTTGATTGTATTAATCCGTACTGCACAGAGTTGTTCCACATCAGGCAAACTGTCCTTGGCTCCATTAGTTGTTTTACAATCCTCAAGTGCTCTTTTAAAACGTGTGCAAGCACTTGGAGGGCGGCTGTCAACAGGTCCCTGCGCCCAGTCTCCCTCCCTCTCAGGGCCATTGTTCTCCCCCACCCCCAAGGCTGTTGTCATCTCCCCCATAATTCCTCCGCCCCAATCTTGCAAAAAGCAGCTATTCCGGCATTCCTGCTCTACGTCTTCCCCCTCCCTCCCCCCTCCTTCCAGATAGCCTCTGCCCGTCCATCCCCGGCTTAGGCCGTTTGGCCCATCATCTCCATCCATGGGAGTTGTGGTCACCTCACCTATAGAGCCATCATCCCAGTTATGCAAGAGGCTGTCCCATTGTTTCGGTCTCTGGTTTTTCCCTTTAACCAGGTCATCGTCCTTCTTAGGGATCGTGCCCATCTCATCCATCATTCTACCACCCCAATCCTGCGAAGGAAGAGTTGAGGGTCTTCTCAGCAGACCGTGGTGCTGTCTTTCCCATCCCCTAAGAGTCTGATAAGCCGGCAAAAGATCTATATGCCAGTTGATGGAATTTTCATCAGAGAGCCGGGCTTCCTTGAGTAGGCGGCCACCCTTGGTAGTCTCATGAGCTATAACCTCTGCGTTAGCTAGATCAAATGTGTGGCCAAAGGTCATATGGGCCCACACTTGTGAGTGTTGCTCCTGCCTTCTAATAGCCAGTTCATGTTCATGGACCCTGGTCCTCAGCCTTTTAGTAGTTTCCCCAACATAATTGCTAGCACAGTCCTTGCAATTGATTCTGTAAACTACAAACCCAGGATTGTATTAGCTTGTTTGGCTGCTGCTGCACACTGCTGGCTCATGGTTAAGTGATCGTCCACTCAGACTCCAAGGTCTCTCTCCTGTTTTTCACTCTGTTGGCTTGCTATTCTAAGGAAAGAAATTATGAACAAATCCTTCCCATGCCCTTATCTTGGCATTATATGAGAATTCAAGAAATAGAGGATTTCTTCCTTCCATTAACATAAGAACCTCATCTTAATAGTGCCAAATGCCCCTTGGCTTTTAACACTTCCTTACAGAGGCTCTGCAGCTTTCTAGTTGCTTCCTAGCAGTTCAATAATATCATTCTGTCTAGAAATTCTGAAAATTTAGCATTTGCCACAAAGAAACCTATCACCCAGGTATTGCTGGCTTTAGAATGTCTCTCTTTTTGGAGCAGCAGGGGCACACTACTATGTGAAGTATGGTACTTGGATCCATCTTTTAGTGTTTTTCTGAAATTCAGGATACCTTAGCAAGCTCCTGACCCCCCCCCCCAAAAGAACACAGTTCAAGAGATAAAACAGCCATTGCTTTGGAAGATGTCTATGTACTACACCAACTTGTTCTTGCAGATTTTTATTTTATATTTTTAATCTTCTCTTTTAGGATCAAAACACACAGTTGGCCAAAACAGGGACTCTATCAAGGCGATCAATCAAGTCCTCGGCTGGGATGTCACCTGGAACCCTTGGGTGAGAATGAATCAACTAATAACAGGAGCAAGCAAGGAAATCACCATTGAGTTAAGGCTACTATGGCCATCTATGCTACTTGTGGAGGATAATCATATATTCAATGATATTTTATGGTTGACAATTTATTTTATTTATTAATCAGATTTGTATAGCAGCCCATCTAACCAAAAGCAGTTCTGGCAGTGTACAGCAAGTGGATAAAACAACAAATATAAACATGTTAAAAAAATAAATATTATAAAATCAAATATATAAACTATATAAAGCAGATAAGAATAGCTATTTCAACAATGGAGGTATCTAACCATGTTTTATTATTTTTTTAAAAAAAATAATCACGCCTGATTTAAAGGCAAAGCAATCAAGAGTCTTTGAAGTGAGCAGCCCTGCAGCAGATCCCAGCAACATCTACCAGGAGAGGTTAAGCTCAGCAAGATGAGGCAAGTCCTGCCCCCTTTTGAACATGTCCATCACAAGGGGCAGAACTTGTATCACGCTGCTGCTCCATCCACCACCAAACCAATTTTCAACCCTTGCCTAAAAATACTGTTTGCCAATAAAAATCTTGACAGCCTTCCTTGAGATGGGTAGCCACACTGCTCTCTAATCATTCCTTCCAAATTAGTTCATAAACGAGAACATGTAGAGCTATAATATAAACCAAGTGATGCTTTGTATAAAAAAAATGGGTTGTTTTAGTCAGAAGTAGAATAACATTCTTTAAGATGTTGTTGCTTGTCCAAAATGATAAGCTTAGAATTTCTGATGTTATATTGTCTCTTATCAGACTCTTTCTTAGCAGTTAGAATCTTAGGCGTTGGAATGGGTGGCTATGATATTCTTCTATTATCCAACTCAAAGGACCAGTTATTTGTACATGGAAACATTGGTTGTATATGGAATGACGAGCTCTGACCTGTAAAAATGTATTTGGTAATAAAATGATCTACAGGATATCATCTGAATCTTCACTGTTCATCCTGACAGAGTAATGAATTGATGTGGTTGGCTGTGGGTATTAAATGACTCATCTGTTTCTGTTATATAAAAACCGCTTGGTCAAAATGCAAGAATTTTCATGTCTCTGGTTTCAGGCAGACAAATTTTTGCAAATGAGGACTTTAGGGGAAGAGATGCTTTTTTTTTTTTTTTTGCAAATGAGGACTTTAGAGGAAGAGATGCTTTATAAAATGGCCTCCAAGAGTCACATGGGGTGTGGTGATGATGATGTTAGAAATAAAGAAAAAAAATGCTTTGTGAAGGTGGGGACTGGATGTGTACAATTAGGGTGTTAATATATGAATGTTTAAAGCTTACTTTAAAAATAAAATTTCTCATATTTGAGAAGCAATTCTTAAAGGAAAGTTGTATTGATGCAGGTATGAGAAATCCAGATGTTACTTTTTCCCCCTTTTATTTTAGAATGAGCCAGAAGATTCTGGAAGCAATTCTGCCACCACTCATCCCCGAATGCCAACTCTCATCAGCTTCATCTTTGTCATCCATGAGGTACCTTTAGGAGGCCCTTCCCCCGTCCCTCTTCCCAGCACAGAGTAGATATGTAAAGAATAGCCTTGTGGGAAAAGTAATTACTATTACAAATGATTAAACATAATTGAAAAGCAAGATTTCATGATCCAGGAACTTTAAGACCAATTGTAGCATCAAAGACCTTTTGTTATTTCAGACTAAAATGACAAAGAATTGTTCTAAAGCATGTGATAAGTTTGCATCACATATGACAATTTGTTATCATTTCATTATTTTGGATTTCTTCCCAAATTCCCTATTATGGTGCTAGATAACAGTTATTGCATAGCACTTTAAACTGTACCTTTATTATAATTTAGAGGTGCTCTAGAGAAACTATTACGGTACCTCTTTCTTTATTAAGTATAGAAACATCTATTGACTTTGATCTGTAGACAAGAATATTGTCCTTAAATGCTTCCTTTTATGTAACAAATAGCCTGCAGGAAAAAAACAAAGTATCACCAAGCAAGAATATGACATAATGTGCTAGCTCAGACTGTTTCCTGTATGGTGCTTTTCTTTGTACAGAGATGGACAAAATATGTCTCTCTAGAGTCTAGATGTTGTTGGATTCCAGTTCTCATCTGCTGTGTGGTAGCAAGCCAGTGATGATGGATTACGGGAGCTAATGTTATCCCATTCCAGAATTACAAGTCTATTATTATTTTAACACAAGGGGCATGGTTATTTTCCTTCCTTTTCCACTGCCTTTTCACCAAACCTGTCCTTGTTTAAATGTCATAGTAATCTCCCAGAAGCTTCGAACAGCACAAATATGAAAAGGCCTTCTGGACCAGATCCATCACCACCCCCACCCCCACCCCCGGAAGCAGGTGATTTTCTTCTCCCTTCTCAAACAGATTTTTTGCCATCTCCTATTCAAGCAGAAGATGTTCTTCCTCCGCCTTACCCTGAGCCAGGTAAAAGCTTTTTTTAAGCAATAGGAAAATAAATCAAAGTGTATCAAGTCATTAGTTGGCATATACAATCCATTAATAAATGTCAGCTAGGACCATGGGAACAGTATCCTGTGATCTTGGAAATGGAATGGCTAGCAGATGGTACTGAGTTTATAAATTACACCAAGCCAGAAGTGCTTTGTTTGATTGACTTATGTGACCCAATCAATTAGGTCTTATTGAACAAACCGTGACTTGGTATATAGGCTTAATTACAGAACATCAAGCAGATGAGACAGTTGACTTGATTATTTGTGAAGCAGACACCATATTTGTTTGCAGATCTTGATTTTCCAACTGTTCCTCCACCACCATCCCTGGATATCTCCAACTGTGGTCACCCGAAGCCTCCTTTTCTGCCACCTCCACCACCCCCAGAGAAATTGCCATGGGCCCCAGACACCTATCTGGAGAAAGGTACCTTAGTAAAAATATGACAACTGCTAAAAACTTTTTCAACTCTGCATGATTTTTACCCCCTAACCCTAGACGTTGAAATGCCAAGGCACCAAAAACAATGAATTTGGCTATATTAATGAGTGACATAAGATGTAAAACTACATAAGATTGTATTCCCCCTCATCTTCCATTCTATCTCTTTAGCATTCCTGGCTTATCTTAAGGAAGTAGCTAGTTGATCTTTTATTAGTTCGATTCTTTGACTCTGTTTTTCCTTATCTTATTTTCAGTTGTGACTCTTTACCCTTATGTTCAGAAGAAGGAGGATGAACTCTCATTTACAGAAGGGGTCATTATTTATGTAACACGGAAATACTCAAACGGCTGGTGTGAGGGCGTAACAAGTGATGCAGAGGGATTGTTCCCCAGGAACTACACAGAACCTTTGCACTGAATGAGGCAGAACGGAAGAGGAAAAAAAGACAGGACCCTAACACAAGTTTTATGGAGAACATGGAGTCACCTGGAGTAGTCCACAGTGAGATAGGCAGCAAATCAATTTAACAAGTAAATTCATGCACATCCTGATTTAAGTTGCCAGGAAATCAGTATTTCCCCTGACTAGGCTAAAATCAAGCTAATGAAAGGAAGGTATCAAGAGTACTTTGGACATTTCCATATGTGGGAAGAATCCAGAGAAATAAATATTTTGGAGAATATTAAAAAAGGCAGAATGTATTTCCCCAAAGGATCTTAAAACCAGAAACTTCTTCCTCCCTCCTCCACACAGCTAGAAAACTCAACAGAAACCAGCTTTTAGAAATGCAGATGTAATAATCCATTCAGGAAGGTTAGCATCAGGAAGCTTAGAAGCTGATGAGATTAGGAAGACAAAGATCCCTAGAATCAACAATCCCTCACACTCAAAAAATCCAACACAGGACATAGTCATCAGCCACATACCCTAGGGAAACAGGATATGACCTTTGGGAAATAATAGGATTAACCCACCACCATCAGAATACTAGAAAGGCACACTCAGACTCAGGTCAAAGTTCATGCCACAGGAAACAACTCTAAACACAAAAGGCATAACAACCCACCACTCCCTGCTCCATATGGTCAGCTTTCCCAGAGCCATGCTTCTGTCTGGCTTTGCTCTTCAATAAACTACAACCTTCTTTCTAAAGCAGTCTCCATTTTGTTTATTCCTGCTTGGACTGGACCCTGATGAAGATTTTTTTTTCTACACCTAAATCCATTGCAATGTAAACACAGGATTTATGGTTCCTCTTCCTCTGCAGTGCTTCACAAAACCTAAAATCTTGCCCAGCAGTTAATAAGGAATTCATCAGGGCTAATTTCTATCCGTACAAAAATAGTGGTTTCTTAGACTTCTGAGGTCGGGCTTGCCTATGTTTGATAAATGTGATGAATAAATAAATGAATCCAGCAACAAACTTTCTACTCTTGTGTAGAAAATAAACATGCTGTAAAATATCCTTGAAAGCTTTGTGTGCTTTTCAATATGCCAGCAGGTGGTGCTATTTTGTAGCAACCCCATAGTAAGGACTGACCCTCTATGTCCAACCCTGAAATCTTATTTGCATCCCAAAATTATACCACCTATTTCAGCAGCAAACAACTGAGCAGAGAGAGCATGTTCACCTACAGTTTTTTGGGGAGGGAGGGGCAGTCAGAAAAGAAAGAAAAGATAAAATTCTTCTCTGGGTTAAGTGCAACTCCTTATAGCTTTGTGGATATATTGGTTATGTTATGAAGATTTCTTGCAACTGCTGCCTTCCATGTCTTTTGACTTTACAATACAGTCTAGACTAGGGGTGTCAAACTCGCAACATCACATGATGTGTCAGGACTTTTTTGCCATTGCCAGCAATAGGGTGGGCGCGGTTTTGCTATGATGCATCCAGCCCATGGGCCACTGGTCTAGACCTAGTGGTCTCCCACCAAAGGACTAAGCAGGCTCAACCTGACTAAGACCAGGTTACACTGTCATCTGCTTTTAATATAAACAAAAAAGTTGAATACCAAGTTACTGAGCTTAAAATAGTTCACTGAAGTTCCCAACCCTTCCAAATTGCACCATCAGGGTATTATCATCCTGCCTCTAGCTGCCTTTTTGCTTTCTTGTTTTAAAGAAGATTGCTTTATATACTGGGAAATGTGTAGAATATTAGGAGGGTGAGGTGAATGTGGCTATAGAGCACTTCCTGATTCGTGACAGAGGAAGAACAAAAGAGAGGAAGCTGCAAACCTGTTTTTCCAATTGGAATTATGTAATTCATTTCTCCAAAGGTGGTGCTTCATTGTGTAGATACATTTGTCTCTGTTCACCACTAGAAATGTTTGTCACAACAAACTCTGGAAAGTTCAAACAGTGCTATGCCTGACGGCCAACAGAAACAGTTTTCTCTCTCTCCCTAAACCAGGGGGAGGCAACCTCGGCTCTTTTATGACTCGTGGACATCAACTCCCAGAATTCCTGAGCCATTCTGGGAGTTGAAGTCCACGAGTCATAAAAGAGCCGAGGTTGCCTACCCCTGTCCTAAACCAAGCTGAGTGGTCTCAGTCTGAATATTGTATCCCACTTTAATTACACTCCACATTTATCCTGGCTTGCCATAATAGGTGGCTATATGTACCCTCAAATTTCCAACTTAGGCCTACCTTTTAATTCCCTTTATTTTGCAGTAAGAGGAAACCACATCAAGTGAAAAAGAACTGAGGGATAATTGAGAGGAACAACCATCTGCCATTCTCAGATCAAAGGGGAGAATAAAGCTAATTCCTGAGGAAAAACAGCAGCTCACTGGTAGGAGTGTAGGTGAGAGAGAAGAGAGCTTTCCCACCACTAGAGATTTCACACATTCAGACTCTAGAAACACAGGAACCATGAAATAGATATTTGAATATACTTTATAAGCAATATTGTCAGCTGAGTATACAAAAGACAACATTTAAGTATTTGCTAGGTATTTTTTTGTCTGCTGTGTGTGTGTGTGCGCACGCGCACATATAAAAGAGTTGCCATGGCTTTAAATTCCAAAAATAACAAGCAGAAAGGGGGAGTACAACAGAAAAGAATATGGGAAAATTGCAGAGAATGCAGACCAAGTGAGGATTACAAATAAACATTTTAAAAGAAAAGACAGACATAAACTGCTGGTTTTGTTATGGAATTTGAGATGGCAAGCACATTTCAAGCCAAGGAGAAATCCATGTTGGTGTTTTGGGGTACAACATCTTGGGAGACAAGAGTCAAGTGCTCAATTTTAATAAATGGAAATTATTCTGGCAGCCATACAGGTGTATCTACAGTAACAAACTCAATGGAAATCTGTTCCAGTGTTGCACAGAGAAATGGCATAAATCTAGGTGTCTTATGATTCAGTGTCCATTGTTGAAGGTTACTGCATAACTGTTGTGTGTCTATTGTGGCAGTGCTGTGTCTGTAGTTTGTCTGCATGAACATATTCCACTGATTCCTCTCTCTAATCTTGGTCCCATAGCTCCTTAATGTCACTAATCTCATATTGATCAATTCAATTCCTTTTCCTGAGCAAAACATGAAATGTAGAGTTTAGCATATTTAGTATATTCACTCTTATCAAGCTCCCTAAATAATTTTGAGGAAGCCATGCATTGATAAGTCGATAAAAGAGAAGGGAACTTTTATGTTTTAAATTTTATCTATGATACAGCACCATCATTCAGCCTGGATGTCTGGTGCAAATTACTTTCTCCAGAAGGCAATTTCTCTTTATCCCCATCTTCAATTTATGCAGCATTATTTGAATAGAACGGAGAAAAAAAGTCCAAAGTTAGATCTGAAATTACAGGATAATTATGGATGAATGGGAAATGCATACAGTAATAGGATATTTTTTTCATTCTTGTAATCTCCTACCTTCTACATTTCTAAAGTCAGGGGTTAGGAATTGTGGTTATCCAGTTACTGCTGAATTATAACTGCAAAAAACCCAAACAAGCCCATTGCAGGAAGGTGTAGCATAGCAACATCTGAAGGGCCGTGCTGTACATCAATTATCATCAGCAATAGTTGTTTCTAACACGTTCCCTAAACCAAGGATCTCCAACCTTGGCAACTTTATGATTTGTGGACTTCAACTCCCAGAATTCCTCAGCCAGACTCCTGCCTTACACATCCAAAATATTTTGGGTTTTTTTGTTTCTATACATCAAATAGGCAGACCACATGCCTCGTTTAGGTAGCAGTCTCTGTTGGAGGAGCAGAAATGCTTTCTTGAGGCTTTTCTAGATCAGAGTTCCCCAACCTTTGTGGCTTTGCAGACTGGTGGGGGGGGGGGAGAGAGGGGATGTTTCCACACTTTCCCACCACTTCCGCAGCCCAGTTCTGAAAACTCAAGGCCCAGAAGTGGACCGTGGCTGGGGGTTGGGGAACCTCTGTTCTAGGTGACAGATCAACATGATACTATAGCAAGAGTTTTCTGTTTTCTCTCACAATTTGCTTGGCTAAAAGCCACCCTGCCAATCTGCATCCTATAAAGGACTTGGAACTGCAATTTCCAGCCCATATTCAGCTCTTGAAATCCCTAGTTATTGGCTATGTTGACTGAGAATTATGGAAGTCAAACATCTGGAGAACAGCAGGTTGAGGAAGTATAAGCCTAGGGCATTGATCTCAGCAATAAAATGAGCCCTTAAAGAAAACAGTATGTTGTGCTCAATTAGATGATTATGTTCTGTCCAGCAACAATGCTACATTTAAATTACCTTTTAGCATTTTTTTTTCATTTGGGACATTTTTTGAAGATATCGGTAACAGTTTATCTTACATTACACAATATCTGCTTTGTTTTGACTTAATATGTGTGATCCAGCCACTGTGGTTTGTGAACCATGGTTTATGGCTTAATAGTGTATGAACTCAGCTGAACCTGGCTGAGTGGGTAAATCATAGATTAAATTAAATCTGACCTAGCAGATACATAATTCTGCTCCATTTAGATCTACAGCAGATGATTTTATTGCCATCTTCAATGAGCCAGGACCCATGACTGCTTTTAAATGCTTTGGTAGCAGAGATATCCCCAAAATGGATAAGCAATTTTAAGAAATGCAATAGCATTTTCTTCATAGGCAAGCAAAACATATGAGGTGGCAGGCACCCACCCATCCTTCCTGGAATGGACTGCCAAACTGCATAGAGAGCCCTCATCTCAAGATCAAAAGAAGGGAAGATCCAGAGACAGACAGTGCATAATGAGAGAAAGGGGAGGAGGGAAACAGAGCAGAAGCCAAACATGAAGCAATGCAAGGTTAATCGCTGAGATCTTTCCACGCTGTATGTCAGGTAAATCAAGGAGAATTGCTGCTTCTGCCAAGTCTTTCCCTTAGCATGTTTTCTTGAGAACTTCTTGAAGGTGGGAACAAACTTCTATGGCAGAGTCCCAAGGGACTACAGTAGCCTGGTAAGCCCCAGGTTGATTTTTCTCCATCTCCTGGATGAGTTGATGCATGGGATAGCCCTTCCTTGGGAAGGCAACATCACTGGACTTCATTGCCATGGAAGGGCAGAAGTCATTGGCTCCATCTCCCACATAGAAGATTCTCTCAAATTTCTTTCCCTCCTGAGCTCTTCCTTCCAGGTATTCAATCAGGATCTTCTGTTTGCACATATTTGAAGGGCACCGTGGGCAATTGTGTGAATGATAAGGGCCCAAAATGAAGTAGCCTGTCTTGTCAAAGCTAGAAGGGTTACTGAATATTTTACGGAAGAGGGAGTAAACCCCTGCAGCCTTCAAAGAACATTCAATGCCGAACATGTTGGCATCAGAGATGAGGATGATCTCAAAGCGGTTCTGGTGCTTAGAGAGGAACTGGAAGAGCTCCTGCATACCAGGAGAGAAGGGAATCTTTTCATAGACTGCTTTGAAGTCAGCCATGTTTAGCCCTTGATCCCCCAGATATTTCAAAACCCGCTGCATGTACTCATTGTAGAAGCCTTCCCGGAAGGTTTGGCGTATGGACTCTGGTAGCTTTTTCTCAGGAGCAGCCTGGGCAACAGAATCATCACTATTCTCATTTACAATGGTCTCATCAAAGTCAAAGACCAGGAGGTGCTTTTGGCTTTGTGTGGCCGCCATTGGCCCATCCTGCAACAAAAAGAAGTTTTGTTAATGGAAAGCCAACTATAGATTACATTCCTTTGTCCTCTCAAAATGCAGCCCATGCCCAACTTGATTGCCATCTTTATCAGGACAACTCCCAGAATTTCCCAGCCAACACAGCCATTCCTGAGAATTCTGGGAATTGACATCCACACATCTTTCTGGCTGCCATGATTGTTACAATGCCACTTCCAGCAAACATAAGAACTGAATATTTTTTCCTTATTCACAAAACAGTGTTTGAAAAGATTTCTGCATATTTTTGGCTCCAACTTTGATGCACCCTCCCCTTCCTACCTGAACCATGAACTATCTGCAGATGTTCTGAGGTGCCAGAAACAGCAGGCAAAGGATGAGATGTTGAGTACATAGGCAGGTGCATCCATAGCAGAAGATCCTTTTCATGCACAAATAGATGATACCTCTATTTGGCCCTAACCAAAGCAAAGAACGTATGACTATGCTTAGAAATAACTGAAATTCTACCTTTAATATGTCCCCCCTTCTTTTGGTCTTGGTTCATGGAGAAAAGAAGAAGGAATGGTGACAAATTATGGAATTTGCTACTTATACATTCTATTTTATAATCTTTACTCTCTGAAAGGATTAGAATGCTTTGAAGTATTTGTATTCATAAGAACTAGTAACTTTGGTGCCTTAAAACTTCTTGAAGATGTGATGATGTTTAATCTCCCTGTCCAATGCCATTAAGATCTGTTAATTTTCATGATTTTCACATTTATGATGAAGTCACTTAGCTCTGATGCAATACAATTGAAATTGCAGTAATTCCAAATGAACTACTTTATTATTGCCCTGTTACTACTTTGTGCCCCCTCTAAGTCCAAGTGGGACTGTCATGTTTTCTCCTCACATTATCTTCAGTTCTTGACCTTAAGAGGCTTAAGTACTCGGCAATGGGGATCAGTGTTTAAGTTTCTTTTAATCATGGTGATGTTCTTTCCTGAGCAAGGCAATTTACGTCCTTGGAATTCTTGCTTGTAACAAAGGGGCAATGATAGGATACTGGGGAATTTTGGAATACGTGAAGGATTGGAAGAAAGATGGCTAGGATAATGGGCAGCTTTAAGCAGTTAGTTGCACTGATTTTTAATGTGGATTGGCTGAGATTTTGAGGTTTCAGTTTAGTTTTAAAGAAGGTTTTGCACTTGCAATAGTGCAACAAAAGTTTTCTGCATGTTATGGGTGGAATTTTGATGACTCACCAGATGGGCTGTTTCTTCCACACCACCTCTAAACACATCCCTCTTGATTTTCTTACCTTTGCCATTCCGTTGGTTGATGAAGTCTAATCAATGAAAAGGCATGGCTTAAAGCTTTTGAGTAGCAGGGGTGTGTAGTTAAACTGAATCACAGAGCTTACGGCCATCCTGTCTCACAACATGTTATCTCACAGCATGTTAATACAGTATCCAATGATTCTTTCCTTTTCTACCCCAAGTTTTCTGAGAATAGTGCTCACCTTAAGAAAGCATTGCAGCCCGATACCTTCGAAACACCTTTTCATCTTCAGTACTTTAGTTTCCAACGTGATGCATCCCCCAATGTATACACTCCCTTTGCTGCTGAAGAAACCAGAGGTCACTGATTTTATGAATGCCAACTTTGTTTAGCCTGTCCTGCTCACTTTAGATTCTGCCCTACATTGAAAATAAACTCTGCAGTCTGTTTTCCCAAATGACTGTGATAATTATAGATAGCCCTTGATTTACAACCATTCATTTAGTGACCGTTCAAAGTCACCACAGCACTGAAAAAAGTGACTAATGATTGTTTTTCGCAATTACAACTGTTGCAGCATCCCCTTGGTCATGTGATCAAAATTTGGATGCTAAGCAACTTGCATGTATTTATGATGGTTGCAGTGTCCTGAGGTCTTGTGATCAACTTTTGTGATCTCCCAACAAACAAAATCAATGGGGAAGCCAGATTCACTTAACAACCATGTTACTAACTTAACAACTACAGTGATTCATTTAACAACTGTGACAAGAAAGTTGTAAAATGGGGCAAAACCCACTTAATAACTGTCTCACTTAGCAACAGAAATTTTGGGCTCAATTGTACCATAAGTGGAAGACTACCTGTATTGCTTGTTTCACAACAGAAATTCTTCACCAAGTACAAGCTTGCATAAGAGTCCCTCCTTAGCACAGTTCAATTAGTTGCAGAGCTGAAGAGATAAATATGCTAACTTCCCCCATCAACCTGGAAATGCAGCCTCTTGTGCCTAAGAAAATCATCACAGCCAAAAGAAGGACCGGTCTGCCTCTATTCATTGAAACTGCCTGGCCAAATCCTAATAAAAAACATATGTAGCAGGAGAAGTTATATCACAATAAAATGGTGAAATATTTTGACTTTTTAAACAGAGATGAACTCTCAGTGCCTGGATAGTCATCAGATGCTAGAACAGCCTTTCCAAGTTAGCACTTTTCAGATGTGATGCATCCCAAATGCAACAACCTCCAGCCAGCTTGCCATCTCTTGTAAATCTCAAGTGTTTCTTTCACTCTTTTGGCTCCAGGGCTGGATCATTTCCTTTCCTGTGAGGGAGAAGCTAAGGTGGTGGAGAGCTTTTCTCGAAAAGTATATCTTTATCACCATATTTTTAATCTGTTGTTGTAAATGCCACATTTCTGCTGCCTTATGGGAAGCGTCAACATTTAGAAAGAACTGAAAAAACTCCAGGACATTACTAATCCTCATGGGAAAAAGAAGGAAGAGATATTGTACACATTCTGCAATGCAAGCTAGAGCCAAGCTGACAAAACAGTTGAACGTTGACAGATACCTATATGAGCAGGCAGCCAACTCTTGTAGGTGTTCTTACTCCCTCAAATTCCTCCATTGGATATGATGCTTTAAATCAGGATTTACAAGCAGAGATTGAAAGTCAACAGCTTACAGATCTCTCCTCTTCAATGAAAGAGACCTCTCCCCTTCCAAATGCACTGATGCAATCTGTTCTACAGCTGCAGAGTTATTACAGGATGAGGGTGTGAATACTCACCTGATAAACTTAAAGAACACAATTGTAACTGACTTTCTAACTAAACAGCTGGCAGCTCAAACAGTTCTATCTTTGACTTGTTGATTAACAGTTAAAATCAAAGTGGACTCAAAAGAGGTCTTTGTAAAACCAGCCAAAAGACAACTCTGCTAAAGCATGAGTATCCTGTATAAAGTTTGCCATAAAAGCAGCCAGTAGGAAAGCCATGGGCAACCTTACCTCTACACCTGGGAACAGAAAGAGCTGACCACTACCCTGGGAAAGGGTGAGAAACAAGTCTCCAGTAGGCATGTAACCAAAGGAGAGAGACATTTAAATTGTAAGATGGTAAGTATCATCTATAGTCTAAACAAATTACCTTACAAATATTAAATAACAGAGCAAATAAAGGATTATGGTGATCAGAAAGAACAATTATCTTATCCTTAAGCCAGTTACTATGCTATGAAAAGCAGCTGATTGGTTTCCATCTAGCAGAAGCTGAGAGCAATTTTTACTTACAGTTCCTAGTATGTTGTTTAAAATGAGGCCTTTTCTGCTTGCTTCCAATCTTCTACAACATGTGTTTTGCTCAGAAGAAACTCAGTCCACTCCTAAGCCAATCTGGCCATGAGAGTATTACCACTTTAAAGAATAAATGTGGCCACTCAGCTTCATACAACCTCAAGGACACCTTACCAATTCTGTCCTGGGAGATGACTGCCCACACAAAAAGTCTTTATCTAAAGCAAAGTGACCTTCTGGGGAAAAAATCTTATTAACTCTTTTAGTGCCCTGCGAGATTTGGAAAAAGCTGATATTAAAAGACTGGGACGATTTTAGAGAAACTCCAATGGCAATACACAAAGCAGCCAGACCTCTTATTGATCTGGTTTATCAACTACCCAAGACAGTTGCCATCTTACAAATGCTACAGATATTTTATAAATTGATTTGCAACTTTTGCATGGCACCACTATTACCAACTACCCAGTAGAATTCCCATATTGGGCGGGCATAAGGTCCTCCCTGGTTGAGTATACTGCCATATCAAGAAATTTATCTCTTCAGATTTCCATTTCCATATTGATAACTGTTCTGAGAGTGCTTCTAAATCAGTGGTTCTCAACCTTTTTAATGCCGCGACCCCCAATCGGTCATAAGTCGAGGACTACTCAACCGGTCGTAAGTTGAGGACTACTCAACTGGTGCAGCACCGTTTGCAGAATGGGACTTTTGGCGGGCTCAGCAGGGCAGATACAGCCTGGACAATTCCTATTGGCTATTGAAAGCCAATAGAATTAGACTCTATTCAAGAGAGTCTATTCTATTGGCTTTCAAAAGCCAATAGAATAAAAGGGAGTAGCACAGCTAAGGAAAAGGGGGAAAAAATGGCGGACTGTGTTGTTTGGCGACCCCCGTGAAATGGTCGTTCGACCCCAAATGGGGTCCCGACCCACAGGTTGAGAACCACTGTTCTAAATCCTTTTGTTGTTCTTTTTTTGAAAAAATATAGAATAGAATAGAATAGAATAGAATAGAATAGAATAGAATAGAATAGAATAGAATAGAATAGAATAGGAAGGGACCTTGGATGTCTTCTAGTCCAGGGCTTTTCAACCAGTGGTACGGGTACCACCTGTGGTACATTGGCACCTGGCAGGTGGTACGTGACCATCCTAGAAAAGTGGTAGCAGGGGAGGGGAATAAGCTGAACTCGGGTGGCAGCACCGCACAAGATGCAGGGCTGTCATGGCTCAGCAGAAGCTCCAGGATCAGTGCCGCTTTCCAGCTGATTGGCGCTTCTTCGGGGCTGTCAGGGCTCAGTGGAAGTGCCAGGATCAGCACAAGACTCCATCTGGAGCTCGGCACTGATCCTGGTGCTTCTGTTGAGCCCTGAAGAAGCACCAATCAGCTGGAAAGCAGCACTGATCCTGGCGCCTCTGCTGAGTCCAGAAGAAGCGCCAATCAGCTGGAATGTTGCAGCATCTCCAGGGTCTTGAGATTTACATTCAGATGCTTGGCAACTGATTCATATTTATGACGGTCACAGTGTCCCGGGGTCAAAACCTGCTGCAACCACCCAGCAGACAGGGGGAATAAAAACCAAACAACCCCCCACCCCACCCCCACTGCCAATCCTCAACAGAAATGCTCACAACAATGAAAACCTCGGACCAGGAGGAAGAGCACCGCCGGATGGGCAGGCAGGTGTCTTGCTCAGCTGTGGGTTGCAGGGGCACTTTTTTCAGTGCCATTGTAACTTCGAACAGTCACTAAGCAAACTGTTGTAAGTCAAGAACTACCTGTACTTTATCACTTTTTTCCTTTCTTTCTTTTTTTTTTTTTTGGTCATCAAGTTTTTGACACCTTGCTAGGCAACTGATGGTACTGATGCCATATCCTAAAAGTGGTACAATGGGTGAAAAGGTTGAAAAGCCCTGTTCTAGTCCAGCCCCCTGCTCAAGCAGGAGAACCTATACCATCTCAGACAAGTGACTGTCTAGTCTCTTCTTAAAAATCTCCAGTGATGGAGCGCCCACGATTTCTGGAGGCAAGCTGTTCCACTGGTTAATTGTCCTCAATGTCAGGAAGTTTCTCCTTAATTCTAGGTTTCTTCTCTCTGTGATCAGTTTCTAACCATTGTTTCTTGTCTTGCTCTCTGGTGCTTTGGTGAATAACTTGACCACCTCTTCTTTGTGGCAGCTCCTCAAATACTGGAATACTGCTATCATGTCTCCCCTATTTCTTCTTTTCTTTAGACTAGCCAAACCCAAGTCCTGCAGCTGTTCTTCGTATGTTTCCAGGCCTTTGATCATCTTAGTTGCTCTTCTCTGATTTTTTTTTCCAGACTCTCAACATCTTTTTTGTGATATGGCTGCAGTATTCCAGGTGGTTGTCTTACTAAGGTTTTATAAAACTGTACAAATACTTCACCCATTCTTGATTCTATGCCTCTGTTTATACAACCCAGGATTGTATTAGCTTTTTTAGCTGCTGCTGCACACTGCTGGCTCATAGTCAAGTGATTGTCCTCTAGGACTTCAAGTTCACTCTCACAGTTACTGTTTTTAAGTCAGGTCTCGCCTAATCTGTACTTGTAGCTTTGATTTTTCCTGCCTAAATGTAAGACTTTGCTTTTCTCCATATTGAAACTCATTTTGTTGGATAGAGTCCATTGTTGAAGTTTGTTAAGATCTTTTTGTATCCTGAGTTTGTCTTCTGGGGTGTTGGCTACTCCTGCCAGTTTGGTGTCATCTGCAAATTTGATGAGTTCCCCTTCGATTCCCTTATCTAAGTCATTGATGAAGATATTGAAGAGTACTGGGCCTAACATGGAACCTTGTGGTACCCCACTGCTTACTTCTCTCCATGTGGAAGTAGTGTCATTGAGGACTATCCTTGAGTACTGTTTGCCAGCCAGCTACAGATCCATCTGGTGGGGATGCTGTCTATTCCATCTCTTTCTAGCTTACTAAGGAGTGGGTTGTTGTCTACTTTATCAAATGTCTTACTGAAGTCTAAGTATACTACGTCCACATCACTTCACTGGTCCACTAGTTTAGTTAT